GTGTGTATCTGTGTGCAACTGCGTGTGTGTGTGTATCTGTGTGCAACTGCGTGTGTGTGTGTCACTGTGTGTGTGTGTGTGTCACTGTGTGTGTGTGTGTGTCACTGTGTGTCACTGTGTGTGTGTGTGTGTGTCACTGTGTGTGTGTGTGTGTCACTGTGTGTGTGTATCTGTGTGTCTCTTTGTCTGGATCAGGAGGAGCCTCTTATTGTATGGGACCGATGAACAAGGACTGCTGGTGAGATCCTACACACTCACTCACTCACACACTCACACACTCACACACTCACTCACATACTTACACACACACACTCACACACTCACGCGCACACTCACGCGCACACTCACGCGCACACTCACGCACACACTCACACACACCCTCACGCACACTCACGTTCAACAACCACGCAACAACAACCGCCATCCGCCACTAAGTGGCGGTGACGTCACCACAACGCTTGTGCCAGGCCATGTGCACCTTGAGGTCACGTGAAGTGCCGAACGCCCGCTGGCAGGAGGTCACGGGGCAGACCCAGCAGGTGCCACGGGTCGACTGACCGAGATGACCGAGATGACTGGCTGATGCACCACCTGTGCCCCCTACTGTACCAACTTGCTGTGCTTTAGCCCCCGGCGCTCCGCTCGTTGTTGTGAGCGTCGCTCCTCCGCCCTCCGTTGTTGTTGGAGGGCGACTGCCTCCAACTGCCCAGCAGCGTCCTTCACGAGCCTCCTCCACTGAGGCCGATCTTGACACCGCTGGTACCAGTCATCGGCAAGTCCACTCAGCTCCACGTCCTCCTGTACCACATCACTCCATCTCTCTAGCCCGTGCCGCGCCCGTTTAGTCCCCTCGATCCGGCCGAACAAAAGCTGTTTAGGCATGCGGTGGCTGGGCATGCGGGCTACATGACCCAGCCAATGCAGCCTTGCCTGCCGGAGGAGCTCACCGATGGGACTTTGCCCAGATCTTTCAAGAATTTGTGAGCTGTTCACACAATCCAGCCTGCAGGTTAAACCCAGGATGGATCGTAGGCAGGCCAGCCTAAATGTTTATAACCAGCGAAGATGTTCCATTAGGGGGGGGGGGGGGGGGGGGGGGGTCCACGTTTCGCAAGCGTGGACAAGGGAGGGCGTGACTGTGGCCGAGACGACCTGAAGCTTCGTGTCCGTCTCAGCCTCCCCGTGTCTCCGTGTCTCCCGTTTATCTGTGTCTCTGTGTCTCACCGTGTCTCCGTGTCTCCAGGTACATGTACACTCTGTGTCTCTGTGTCTCTGTGTCTCCGTGTCTCCAGGTAACTGTACACTCTGGACCGCTCGCTCCCCGCGTCTCTTGTCTCAGTGTCTCCGTGTCTCTGTCTCACCGTGTCTCCCCGTGTCTCCAGGTACCTGTACACTCTGTCTCCCCGTGTCACCGTGTCTCTGTCTCACCGTGTCTCCCCGTGTCTCCCCGTGTCCCCAGGTACCTGTACACTCTGTGTCTCTGTGTCTCCGTGTCCCCAGGTACCTGTACACTCTGGACCGCTCGCTCCCCGCGTCTCACTCTGTCTCTGTGTCTCACTGTGTCTCCAGGTACCTGTACACTCTGTGTGTCTCTGTCTCACCGTGTCTCCCCGTGTCTCCCCGTGTCTCCCCGTGTCCCCAGGTACCTGTACACTCTGTGTGTCTCTGTCTCACTGTGTCTCCAGGTACCTGTACACTCTGGACCGCTCGCTCCCCGCGTCTCGGCATCTGCGCGCTCCGGACCAGACGCTGGAGGTGCTGATGAGCGATCTGGACCCGGCCGTCATGAGCCTCTTCTTCCAGCACACCGGCGTTACGGCGCGGCACGTCACCCAGGTCACACACACAGACACACACACAGACACACACACACACACACACACAGACACACACACACACACACACAGACACACACACACACAGACACACACAGACACACACACACACAGACACACACACACAGACACACACACACACAGACACACACACACAGACACACACACAGACACACACACACACAGACACACACAGACACACACACACACAGACACACACACACACAGACACACACACACACAGACACACACACACACATCTACACACACACACATCTACACACACACACATCTACACACACACACATCTACACACACACACATCTACACACACACACATCTACACACACACACATCTACACACACACACATCTACACACACACACAGACACACACATCTACACACACACACATCTACACACACACACAGCTACACACACACAGCTACACACACACACAGACACACACACACAGCTACACACACACAGCTACACACACACAGCTACACACACACACAGCTACACACACACACAGACACACACACACAGTTACACACACACACAACTACACACACACACAACTACACACACACACAGACAGACACACACAAACACACACACACACACACCACACACACAGACACACACAAACACACACACCACACACACAGACACACACACCACACACACAGACACACACACACCACACAGACACACACAAACACACACACACACACCACACACACAGACACACACATCTACACACACACACAACAACAACAACCGCCATTCGCCACTAAGTGGCGGTGACGTCACCACGACGCTTGTGCCAGGCCATGTGCACCTTGAGGCCACGTGAAGTGTCGAACGCCCGCTGGCAGGAGGTCACGGGGCAGACTCAGCAGGTGCCACGGGTCGACTGACTGAGATGACTGAGATGACTGGCTGATGCACCACCTGTGCCCCCTACTGTGCCAACTTGCTGTGCTTTAGCCACCCGGCGCTCCGCTCGTTGTTGTGAGCGTTGCTGAGTGAGCGAGTGAGTGACTGACTGAGTGACTGGGTGAGTGACTGGGTGAGTGAGTGGCTGAGTGAGTGGCTGAGTGAGTGGCTGAGCGAGTAGCTGAGCGTGTAACTGAGTTAGTGGCTGATGCACCACCTGTGCCCCCTACTGTGCCAACTTGCTGTGCTTTAGCCACCCGGCGCTCCGCTCGTTGTTGTGAGCGTCGCTCCTCCACCCTCCGTTGTTGTTGGAGGGCGACTGCCTCCAACTGCCCAGTAGCGTTCTTCACGAGCACACACACACATCTACACACACACACACACAAAGCACACACACAGTGACTGTGTGCGCGTGTGTGTGTGGTGTGTGTAAATGTATGAGTAGCGTGTGGTGTGTGTGTGTGGTGTGTGTGAGTAGCGTGGTGTGTGTGTGTGTGATGCGCGTGTGTGATGCGTGTGTGATGCGTGTGTGATGCGCGTGTGCGTGTGTGATGGCATCTGCTGCGTGCGTGTGTGATGGCATCTGCTGCGTGCGTGTGTGTGTGTGCGTGTGATGCGTGTGTGTGTGTGTGGATGCGTGTGTGTGGTGTGTGTGTGATGCGTGTGTGTGGTGCATGCGTGTGTGTGCGGTAAATGTGTGCGGTGCGTGTGGTGTGTCTGGTGTGTGTGATGCATGTGCGACGTGTGTGTGCGACGCGTGTGCGACGCGTGTGCGACATGTGTGACCCAGTGATGTGTCTGTTTCTCTGCAGATGAGCGGCATCGCAGACCTCATTCCCGGATCCATCATCGATGACGTTCTGTTTGACCCGTGCGGCTACTCCATGAACGGACTCACGGACAACGTACGCAGAGAGACACACGGGGGGAGAGAGACACGGGGGGAGAGAGACACGGGGGGAGAGAGACACGGGGGAGAGAGACACGGGGAGGGAGAGAGACACGGGGAGGGAGAGAGACACGGGGAGAGAGACACGGGGGGAGAGAGACACGGGGAGGGAGACACGGGGAGAGAGACACGGGGAGAGAGACACGGGGAGAGAGACACGGGGGGAGAGACACACGGGGAGAGAGACACACGGGGAGAGAGACACGGGGGGAGAGACACACGGGGAGAGAGAGACACGGGGAGAGAGACACGGGGGGAGAGAGACACGGGGGGAGAGAGAGACACGGGGGGAGAGAGAGACACGGGGAGAGAGAGACACGGGGAGAGAGACACGGGGGGAGAGAGACACGGGGAGAGAGACACGGGGGGAGAGAGACACGGGGGAGAGAGACACGGGGAGAGAGAGAGACACGGGGAGAGAGAGAGACACGGGGAGAGAGAGAGACACGGGGAGAGAGAGAGACACGGGGAGAGAGAGAGACACGGGGAGAGAGAGAGACACGGGGAGAGAGAGAGACACGGGGAGAGAGAGAGACACGGGGAGAGAGAGAGACACGGGGAGAGAGAGAGACACGGGGAGAGAGAGAGACACGGGGAGAGAGAGAGACACGGGGAGAGAGAGAGACACGGGGAGAGAGAGAGACACGGGGAGAGAGAGAGACACGGGGAGAGAGAGAGACACGGGGAGAGAGAGAGACACGGGGAGAGAGAGAGACACGGGGAGAGAGACCGGAGAGAGAGGACACGGGGAGAGAGAGAGACACGGGGAGAGAGAGAGACACGGGGAGAGAGAGAGACACGGGGAGAGAGAGAGACACGGGGAGAGAGAGAGACACGGGGAGAGAGAGAGACACGGGGAGAGAGAGAGACACGGGGAGAGAGAGAGACACGGGGAGAGAGAGAGACACGGGGAGAGAGAGAGACACGGGGAGAGAGAGAGACACGGGGAGAGAGAGAGACACGGGGAGAGAGAGAGACACGGGGAGAGAGAGAGACACGGGGAGAGAGAGAGACACGGGGAGAGAGAGAGACACGGGGAGAGAGAGAGACACGGGGAGAGAGAGAGACACGGGGAGAGAGAGAGACACGGGGAGAGAGAGAGACACGGGGAGAGAGAGAGACACGGGGAGAGAGACACGGGGAGAGAGACACGGGGGGAGAGACACGGGGGGAGAGAGACACGGGGAGAGAGAGACACGGGGGGAGAGAGACACGGGGGAGAGAGACACGGGGGGAGAGAGACACGGGGGAGAGAGACACGGGGGGAGAGAGACACGGGGGGAGAGAGACACGGGGGGAGAGAGACACGGGGGGAGAGAGACACGGGGGGAGAGAGACACGGGGGGAGAGAGACACGGGGGAGGAGACACGGGGGGAGAGAGACACGGGGGAGAGAGACACGGGGGAGAGAGACACGGGGGGGGAGAGAGACACGGGGGGAGAGAGACACGGGGGGAGAGAGACGCACGGGAGAGACACGGGGAGAGAGAGACACGGGGAGAGAGAGACACGGGGGGAGAGAGACACGGGGGGAGAGAGACACGGGGGGAGAGAGACACGGGGGGAGCGAGACACGGGGGGAGAGAGACACGGGAGAGACACGGGGAGAAAGACACGGGGGGAGAGAGACACGGGGGGAGAGAGACACGGGGGGAGAGAGACACGGGGGAGAGAGACACGGGGGGAGAGAGACACGGGGGGAGAGAGACACGGGGGGAGAGAGACACGGGGGAGAGAGACACGGGGGGAGAGAGACACGGGGGGAGAGAGAGACACGGGGGGAGAGAGAGACACGGGGGGAGAGAGACACGGGGGGAGAGAGAGACACGGGGGGAGAGAGAGACACGGGGGGAGAGAGAGACACGGGGGGAGAGAGACACGGGGGGAGAGAGACACGGGGGGAGAGAGACACGGGGGGAGACGTGAGTGGAGTTTGTGATCTCCCCGTGTTCTACAGAGTGTGTGACATCTGTGACAGCTTCATAGCTTGTCAGTATAAATACTGATTGTTTTGTGTGTGTGTGTCACTGTGTGTGTGTGTGTCACTGTGTGTGTGTGTGTCACTGTGTGTGTGTGTGTCACTGTGTGTGTGTGTGTCACTGTGTGTGTGTCACTGTATGTCACTGTGTGTGTGTCACTGTATGTCACTGTGTGTGTGTCACTGTATGTCACTGTGTGTGTGTGTGTGTGTCACTGTGTGTGTCACTGTGTGTGTGTGTCACTGTGTGTGTGTCACTGTGTGTGTGTGTCACTGTGTGTGTGTATTACTGTGTGTGTGTGTCACTGTGTGTGTGTGTCACTGTGTGTGTGTCACTGTGTCACTGTGTCACTGTGTGTGTCACTGTGTGTGTGTGTGTGTCACTGTGTGTGTGTGTCACTGTGTGTGTGTGTCACTGTGTGTCACTGTGTGTGTGTGTCACTGTGTGTGTCACGTGTGTGTGTGTCACTGTGTGTGTCACGTGTGTGTGTGTCACGTGTGTGTGTGTCACGTGTGTGTGTGTCACGTGTGTGTGTGTCACGTGTGTGTGTGTCACGTGTGTGTGTGTCACGTGTGTGTGTGTCACGTGTGTGTGTGTGTGTCACTGTGTGCGTGTGTGTCACTGTGTGCGTGTGTGTCACTGTGTGCGTGTGTGTCACTGTGTGCGTGTGTGTCACTGTGTGCGTGTGTGTCACTGTGTGCGTGTGTGTGTCACTGTGTGTCACTGTGTCAGGGTGTCTACTGGACTATCCACGTCACCCCCGAGGCTGGCTTCTCGTACGTGAGTTTTGAGACGAACGTCGCTCTGGACTGCTACGACGACCTCGTCGCTCACGTGACGCGAGTCTTCCAGCCCGGACGCTTCATCACCACCCTCTTCTTTAACGAGGTAGCTCACACACTCACTTACACACTTACACAGTCACTCACTCACACACTTACACGCTTACACAGTCACTCACACAGTCACACAGTCACTCACTCACTCACACACACACTCACTCACACGCTTACACAGTCACTCGCTCACACACTCACACACACACTTACACACTCACGCACTCACACACTCACTTACACACCTACACACTTACACAGTCACTCACTCACTCACACACACACACTCACTCACGTGACGCGAGTCTTCCAGCCCGGCCGCTTCATCACCACGCTGTTCTTTAACGAGGTAGCTCACACACTCACTTACACACTTACACAGTCACTCACACACTCACACACTCACTCACTTACACACTCACTCACTCACACACTCACACACTTACACACTCACTCACTTACACACCTACACAGTCACTCACACACTCACACAGTCACTCACACACACACTTACACACTCACGCACTCACTCACTCACACACTTACACACTCACTCACTCACACACTCACTCACACACTCACACTCACTCACTCACACACTCACTCACTCACTCACACACTCACACACACTCACTCACTCACACACTCACTCACACACTCACACACACAGTCACTCAGTCACTCACACACACACTCACTCACTCACGTGACGCGAGTCTTCCAGCCCGGCCGCTTCATCACCACCCTGTTCTTTAACGAGGTCACTCACTCACACACTTACACACTTACACACTCACTCACACACTTGCTCACTCGCTCACACACTCACTCACTCGCTCACACACTTACACACTCACTCACACTTACACACTCACTCACACACTCACACAGTCACTCGCTCGCTCGCTCACTCACACACTCGCTCGCTCACTCACTCACACGCCCACTCACACACTCGCTCACACAGTCACTCACTCGCTCACTCGCTCACTCGCTCACTCGCTCACACGCTCACACGCTCACTCGCTCACTCACTCACTTACACACTCACTCACTCACTCACACACTCGCTCACTCACGTGACGCGAGTCTTCCAGCCCGGTCGCTTCATCACCACCCTGTTCTTTAAGGAGATCACTCACTCACACGCTCACACAGTCACTCACACACTCACACAGTCACTCACTCACTCACACACTCGCTCGCTCACTCACACGCTCACTCGCTCGCTCACTCACTCACACGCCCACTCACACAGTCGCTCACACGCTCACTCGCTCACTCGCTCACACGCTCACTCGCTCACTCGCTCACTCACTTACACACTTACACACACACTCACTCACTCGCACACTCACTCACACACTCACTCACACAGTCGCTCACACGCTCACACGCTCACTCACTCACTCGCACACTCACTCACTCACGTGACGCGAGTCTTCCAGCCCGGTCGCTTCATCACCACCCTGTTCTTTAAGGAGGTCACTCACTCACACACACGCTCGCTCACTCACACACTTACACAGTCACTCACTCACTCACACACTCACTCACACTCACTCACTCACACACTCACACAGTCACTCACTCACACACACACACGCTCGCTCACTCACTCACACACTTACACACTCACTCACTTACACAGTCACTCACTTGCACAGCCACTCACTCACACAGTCACTCACACACTCTCTCACACACTCACTTACACACTCACACACTCACACACTCACTCACACACTCACTCACACGCTCGCTCACTCACTTACACACTTACACAGTCGCACACTCACTCACACACTCACTTACACGCTCACTCACTTGCACACTCACTCACACACTCTCTCACACACTCACTTACACGCTGTTTTTTGTTTGCATTACGACTGCAGGTATTGTGGTCTATGCAAACATGACTCCTTGTAAAAAAGGTGTCAGTTTTGTTGCCAGATAGGAGGGTAAAAAACCAATTATCATATTTTTTACTCGCAAATGAGGTTCCAATGTTGTTGTTGACCTCGCTGTGGTTGTTGTTGTTGTTGTGGTGGTTGTTGTTGTTGACGTTGTTGTTGTTGTTGTTGTGTAGACGTCTCCGTGCCGCATGTCTGCCGGCTCGTCCCCGACCGTCGCCGGCTTTGAGCTGCTGACGCGTCAACTGGCCCAGTTCAGCCACAACCACTACAGCCTGCACTACTGCAGCTTCACACGCGCCGCCAACAACAACACCAACAACAACAACACCAACAACAACAACACCACAGCAGCAGCAGCAGTAGAAGCAGCAGCAACAGTAGTGGCAACAACAGCAGCAGCAGCAGCAGCAGCTACAGTAGAAGCAGCAGCAGCAACAACAGCAGCAGCAGCTACAGTAGAAGTAGCAGCAGTAGTAGCATCATTATCAGCAACAACAGCAGCAGCAACAACAGCAGCAGCAACAACAGCAGCAGCAACAGCAGCAGCAGCAACAGCAGCAGCAGCAACAGTCGAAACAGCAGCAGCAACAACAGTAGCAGCAGCAGCAGCTACAGTCGAAGCAGCAGCAGCAACAGCAGCAGCATCATCAGCAGCAGCAGCAGTTGCAGCAGCAGCAACAACAGCAGCAGCAGCTACAGTAGAAGCAGCAGCAGCAACAGTAGCATCATCATCAGCAACAACAGCAGTAGCAGCAGCAGCTACAGTTGCAACAACAACAACAGCCGTTGCAACAACAACACCAGTTGCAGCAACAACAACACCAGTTGCAGCAACAACAACAACCGATGGCGTGGTCAACAACCCAAGCACCAGGGCTGGCGGTGGCAACAACTTTGACAAGGCCAACAACAACAACGACGAGACAACAACCAACAACAACCACCACCACCACCAGCTGCAGCTGCAGCCGTCGCTGACGCAGCAGGGCTAGCAACAGTTGTGCAGCAGCAACAACAACAACAACAGGAATGGCAAGCGGGGCAACAACAATCAGACAACAACAACATCAACCATCAGACTACAACAACCATAAGACTACAACAACCATAAGACTACAACAACAACAACCATCAGACTACAACAACGCTAACTGTGACGACAGCAACAATATCATCATCACCATCGTCACCATCACCATCATGGTCATCATCACCATCATCATCACCATCATCATCATCACCATCATCACCATCATCACCATCATCACCATCGTCATCATCATCACCATCATCACCATCGTCATCACCATCACCATCGTCATCACCACCATCATCACCATCATCACCATCGTCATCACCATCATCACCGTCACCACCATCACCATCATCACCGTCACCACCATCATCACCACCATCATCACCATCGTCATCACCATCACCATCATCACCACCATCACCATCGTCATCACCATCACCATCATCACCATCATCATCATCGTCATCACCATCATCGTCATCACCATCATCGTCATCACCATCATCGTCATCACCATCATCGTCATCACCATCATCGTCATCACCATCATCGTCATCACCATCATCATGGTGGTGGTGTAAGTCTTTGAGGATTTCACTGCTCTCTATAGAAATATAGATTGTGTTGCAACAACAACAACAACACCATCAACATTGTCAAGATCACTGTAACAACATCATCATCACTATTACCACCATCACTGTAACATCATCACCACCATCACCACCATCATCACCATCATCACCATCATCATGATGATCACCAGTATCGGATGATGGTGGAGATGGGTACGAGTCTTTACACTCCTACACACACACCTACACACACACCTACACACACAGCTACACACACACCTACGCACACAGCTATACACACACCTACACACACAGCTACACACACACAGCTACACACACACAGCTACACACACACAGCTACACACACACCAACACACACCTTCACACACACCTACACACACACCTACACACACACCTACACACACACCTACACACACACCTACACACACACCTACACACACGCACACACAGCTATACACACGCGCACACGTATACACAACAACAACAACCGCCATTCGCCACTAAGTGGCGGTGGCGTCACCACACGTAGACACACACACAGCTACACACACACACAGCTACACACACACTGATACGCACACACACACTGACACGCACACACACACTGACACGCACACACACTGACACGCACACACACACTGACACGCACACACACTGACACACACACACTGACACACCTACACACACTGACACACCTACACACACACACTGACACACCTACACACACACACTGACACACCTACACACACACACTGACACACTGACACACACACACTGACACACACACACACTGAGACACACCTACACACACTGAGACACACCTACACACACTGACACGCACACACACACTGACACGCACACACACACTGACACGCACACACACACTGACACCTGCACACACACTGACACCTGCACACACACTGTGACACACCTACACACACTGACACACCTACACACACTGACACGCACACACACACTGACACGCACACACACACTGACACGCACACACACACTGACACGCACACACACACTGACACGCACACACACACTGACACACACACTGACACACCTACACACACACACACACTGACACACCTACACACACACACTTACACACCTACACACACACACTGACACACCTACACACACACACACCTACACACACACACTGACACACACACACTGACACACACACACACTGACACACACACACTGACACACTGACACACTGTCACACACACACTCTGTAAACCGGTACAGATTGGGCCAGACAATCCCGAATGCTGAAAGGATCGGCTGGAAAATTACTCTGTTGGGATCACGCACACGGCAACAGCAGCGGCAGCAGCTACAGCAGCAGCTCCAAGCAGCAGCAGCAGCAGCAGCTCCAAGCAGCAGCAGCAGCAGCAGCTCCAAGCAGCAGCAGCAGCAGCAGCTCCAAGCAGCAGCAGCAGCAGCAGCGGCAGCAGCAGCAGCTCCAAGCGGCAGCAGTAGCAGCAGTAGCAGCTACATCTTGCAGCTTGAAGCAGCAGCTGCAGCAGCAGTAGCAGCAACAGCTGCAGCAACATCACCATGGACGTACCATCATCTTCACCATCATCACCATGGACGTACCATCATCATCACCACCATCACCATGGACGTACCATCATCATCACCACCATCACCATGGACGTACCATCATCATCACCACCATCACCATGGACGTACCATCATCATCACCACCATCACCATGGACGTACCATCATCATCACCACCATCATCACCATGGACGTACCATCATCATCACCAACATCACCATGGACGTACCATCATCTTCACCATCATCACCATGGACGTACCATCATCATCACCACCATCACCATGGTCGTACCATCATCATCACCACCATCACCATGGACGTACCATCATCATCACCACCATCACCATGGACGTACCATCATCATCACCACCATCATCACCATGGACGTACCATCATCATCACCACCATCACCATGGACGTACCATCATCATCACCACCATCACCATGGACGTACCATCATCATCACCACCATCACCATGGACGTACCATCATCATCACCACCATCATCACCATGGACGTACCATCATCTTCACCACCATCACCATGGACGTACCATCATCATCACCACCATCACCATGGACGTACCATCATCTTCACCACCATCATCACCATGGACGTACCATCATCATCACCACCATCACCATGGACGTACCATCATCATCACCACCATCATCACCATGGACGTACCATCATCATCACCAACATCACCATGGACGTACCATCATCATCACCACCATCACCATGGTCGTACCATCATCATCACCATCATCACCATGGACGTACCATCATCATCACCACCATCACCATGGACGTACCATCATCATCACCACCATCACCATGGACGTACCATCATCATCACCACCATCACCATGGACGTACCATCATCATCACCACCATCATCACCATGGACGTACCATCATCTTCACCATCATCACCATGGACGTACCATCATCATCACCACCATCACCATGGACGTACCATCATCTTCACCACCATCATCACCATGGACGTACCATCATCTTCACCACCATCATCACCATGGACGTACCATCATCTTCACCACCATCATCACCATGGACGTACCATCATCTTCACCATCATCACCATGGACGTACCATCATCATCACCACCATCACCATGGTCGTACCATCATCATCACCACCATCACCATGGACGTACCATCATCTTCACCACCATCATCACCATGGACGTACCATCATCTTCACCATCATCACCATGGACGTACCATCATCACCATCACCATGGACGTACCATCATCTTCACCATCATCACCATGGTCGTACCATCACCACCATCACCAGTATGATCAGCATCTTCATCACCGCCATGGGCATCAATATTATCACCACCACCATCATCGTCATCACCGTACCATCATCACCATCACCACCATCGTCGTACCATCATCACCACCATCACCATCGCACCATCATCACCATGGACGTACCATCACCACCATCACCACCATCGTCATACCACCATCATCATACCACCATCATCACCATGGACGTACCATCACCATCATCACCATCACCACCATCGTCATACCACCATCATCACCATGGACGTACCATCATCACCATCACCACCATCGTCACCACTATCATCACCATGGACGTACCATCATCACCATCATCACCATGGTCGTACCACCATCACCACGACTTTATTATTATTATTTTTCGTGTCCACATTTCTCTGGAATTTCACAGCGGCGTAGTGCTGTTTACCCCCCACCCCCCCCCCCCCCCCAATTTTAAAATCCACAATTCTCTGGATCTATAAAGCTATAACACAACAACCCAAGTATTTTTTTTCTCTCTTCCTCCCTCTGCAGGGTGTATCCGTAAAGTCCCCATGCAAAAAAAAAAAACACCCCACACAGTTTTTGTTTCTAGGATTTTTGTAACAACACTGATCCTGAGTCCTCCTCCTGTGAGTTTCTCTCTCTGTGACCTCTCCTTTCATTCCCATCTCTTATCTCTCATCTCTCCCCCATCTCTCTCCCCCATCTCTCTCCCCCATCTCTCTCCCCCATCTCTCTCCCCCATCTCTCTCCCCCATCTCTCTCCCCCATCTCTCTCCCCCATCTCTCTCCCCCATCTCCCCCCATCTCCCCCCCATCTCTGTCCCATCTCTCATCTCTCCCCCATCTCTCTTTCATCTCTCTCCCCATCTCTCTCTCCCCATCTCTCCCATCTCTCTCCCCATCTCACTCACACACAGACCCACAGACTCATGCAGAGACCCATAGACTCATGCAGAGACTCGCATAGACCCATAGACTCACATAGAGACCCAAAGACTCACACAGAGACCCACAGACTCACGCAGAGACCCACAGACTCACGCAGAGACCCACAGACTCGCGCAGAGACCCACAGACTCGCGCAGAGACCCACAGACTCGCGCAGAGACCCACAGACTCGCGCAGAGACCCACAGACTCACGCAGAGACCCACAGACTCACGCAGAGACCCACAGACTCGCCACACAGAGACCCACAGACTCACCACACAGAGACCCACAGACTCACCACACAGAGACCCACAGACTCACCACACAGAGACCCACAGACTCACCACACAGAGACCCACAGACTCACCACACAGAGACCCACAGACTCACCACACAGAGACCCACAGACTCACCACACAGAGACCCACAGACTCACCACACAGAGACCCACAGACTCACCACACAGAGACCCACAGACTCACCACACAGAGACCCACAGACTCGCCACACAGAGACCCACAGACTCACCACACAGAGACCCACAGACTCACCACACAGAGACCCACAGACTCACCACACAGAGACCCACAGACTCACCACACAGAGACCCACAGACTCACCACACAGAGACCCACAGACTCACCACAGAGACCCACAGACTCACCACACAGAGACCCACAGACTCACAGTCTGACTCTCTGTTCGGGTCTATGGCTCTCTGTGTGAGTCTATGGCTCTTTGTGTGAGTCTATGGCTCTCGTTGTGACTATATCCGCCACTCCATCTCGCTGTATTTAAGGGTTCGCAACGATGCCCCAAGTGTCGGCTTCTGGAAAAGTAACAAAAATCTATTTACGTAGCGAGCTCTGGATGAGGATGATCTCCTGTTCCACCTTGGCAGACGAGCGGAGAGAGATTAGAGTGAAGATAGGAGAGAGAGTGGAGAGTGAGCGGAGAGAGTGGAGAGTGGAGAGATAGTAGAGAGTGAAGATGGGAGAGAGTAGAGAGAGAGTGGAGTGGAGATCGGAGAGAGAGGAGAGAGTGAAACAGAGTGGAGTGAGAGAGAGTGGAGTGAGTGAGAGAGAGTAGAGAGTGTGGAGAGAGAGTGGAGTGAGTGAGAGTAGAGAGAGTAGAGAGGTGAGTGAGTGAGAGTAGAGTGAAGATAGGAGAGAGAGTGGAGAGAGAGTGGAGTGAGTGAGAGAGAGTAGAGAGTGTAGAGTGTGGAGAGAGAGTGGAGTGAGTGAGAGAGAGTAGAGAGTGTAGAGTGTGGAGAGAGAGTGGAGTGAGTGAGAGTAGAGTGAAGATAGGAGAGAGAGTGGAGAGAGAGTGGAGTGAGTGAAAGTATAGAGTGTAGAGAGTAGAGTGAAGATAGGAGAGAGAGTGGAGTGAGTGAGAGTAGAGAGAGTATAGAGTGGAGTGAGTGAGAGTAGAGTGAAGATAGGAGAGAGAGTGGAGTGAGTGAGAGTAGAGTGAAGATAGAGAGAGTGGAGAGAGAGTGGAGTGAGTGAGAGTATAGAGTGTAGAGAGTGGAGTGAGAGAGAGTGGAGAGTAGAGAGTGGAGTGAGTGAGAGAGAGTGGAGAGTGAAGATAGGAGAGTATAGAGTGGAGTGAGAGACGAGGCAAGTGGCGATAACGACGACAAAACAATTCACAGACGAATCGGCGGCATGAGTTGCCTCAAATTAGTTTGACGCGGAGTTAGAACGAAACTTACAATTTCTGTAGAGTAGCATGGTGACATGGGGGACTGGGTGGGTGGGTGACATGGCGGGTGGGTGGGTGGGTGACATGGTGGGTGACATGGTGGGTGGGTGGGTGGGTGGCTGGGTGACTGACTGACTGGGTGGGAGACTGGGTGGGTGGGTGACTGACTGGGTGACTGACTGGGTGGCTGGGTGGGTAACTGGGTGACAGACATGGTGGGTGGGTGGCATGGTGGGTGGGTGACTGGGTGGGCGGGTGGGTGACTGGGTGGGTGGCTGGGTGACTGGGTGACAGACATGGTGGGTGGGTGGCATGGTGGGTGGGTGACTGGGTGGCTGGGTGGCTGGGTGACTGACTGGGTGGGTGACTGGGGGGGGTGGGTGACTGACTGGGTGGGTGACTGACTGACTGGGTGGGTGACTGACTGGGTGGGCGGGTGACATGCTGGGTGACTGGATGGGCGGGTGACAGACATGGTGGGTGGGTGGCTGTGTGGTTGACTGACTGGGTGGGCGGGTGACATGGCGGGTGACATGGCGGGTGACATGGCGGGTGACATGGCGGGTGACATGGCGGGTGACATGGCGGGTGACATGGCGGGTGACATGGCGGGTGACATGGCGGGTGACATGGCGGGTGACATGGCGGGTGACATGGCGGGTGACATGGTGGCTGAGACGCTTCCTGGCTGGGTCATGTGACACCTCACCCCCCCTTCCCCCAGGCACGTGCTCCCTTTGTGACGTCGGGGTGGAGGGTCATGTGACCTCGCCCCACCCCCCACCCCAGGCACGTGCTTCCATTGTGACGTCACGTTTATGCATGTGCTCGCTATGACGTCACGGCCGTGAATGTAAAGCTGCCCGTTTCGAGAAGAAAGGGGCGGCAGTCACGTGTCTGGTTTAGTGTGTAGGAGGAAGAGGTTGTGGGGGGCGGTGGGGGGGGGGTTCGTTGTTGTTTATTTTTTTTTGGGGGGGGGGCCCCCCCGGGGGGTCTGACTGCTCGTGGTAACGGTACGGGGGTTGTGTGGTTTGCCACGGACCCCCCACCCACACACCCCCCTCCCTCCCCCTTATAGCGAGTTGCTGCATTACCTACCTGTGGTTTGCCCCCCTCCCTTACCCCCCCATCCATTATGGACATTAAAAACAACGGTCGCATGTTCGTCGCCTGACACTCTCTCGTTTTTCTCGCGGCAACAACAACAAAACAAACACCAACAACACAAACAACAACACACGACAACAAAACAACAACACAAACCAACAACACAAACAACAACAACACAAACAACAACACAAACAACAACACAAACCAACAACAACACAAACCAACAACAACACAAACAACAACAACACAAACAACAACACAAACCAACAACAACACAAACCAACAACAACACAAACAACAACAACACAAACACAACACCAACAACAACACAAACAACAACACACACCAACAACAACACACACCAACAACAACACACAACAACAACACAAACCAACAACAACACAAACAACAACACAAACAACAACAACACAAACACAACACCAACAACAACACAAACACAAACAACAACACAAACACAACACCAACACAAACACAACACAAACACAACAACAACACAAACAACAACAACACACACAACACCAACAACAACACAAACAACAACAACACAAACAACAACACAAACACAACACCAACAACAACACAAACAACAACAACACAAACAACAACAACACAAACACAACAACACAACCACAACATCAACACCAACAACACAACAACAACACAACATCAACAACACAACAACACAACAACACAAACACAACAACAACACAACAGACACCCACCCAGCCCGTAGTGTAGTAACGTGGAGCGTGGTTTAGCCGAACGATGTCATCCGCACTCGAGGTCGTTGTTGTATTTCGATGTAAAGCTTCTTTCGTGACTGCAGCAGGGATTCATCTTCTTGGTTCTTTCGGTAAAGTCACGTAGAAGGGAAGTAATAAAATAATAAAAATTAAACATAATAAAATACGTAACATTGTATTTTATTATGTTTTATTTTTATTAAAGTAACGTAGAAGGAAAATAATAAAAAATATAATTATTCTCACGACGTTTCGGCCACAACGCAAGCAGCCGTCCTCAGGTGAAGACCAGGTCTGTCGTCTCGACTGACCGAGATGACCGAGATGACTGGCTGATGCACCACCTGTGCCCCCTACTGTGCCAACTTGCTGTGCTTTAGCCACCCGGCGCTCCACTCGTTGTTGTGAGCGTCGCTCCTCCGCCCTCCGTTGTTGTTGGAGGGCGACTGCCTCCAACTGTCCAGTAGCGTCCTTCACGAGCCTCCTCCACAGAGGCCGATCTTGACACCGCTGGTACCAGTCATCGGCAAGTCC